AATTTTTATTTTTCTGTGATAAAAATTTTTTTCTTCCTCTATAAGAAGCAGTTGGCTACCATTGCAGATTTTAAGATAAATATTTTACAAGATTTAAGTGATTGTCGTCTTTTTTACTCTTTCAAAGAATTCAGCTTCAAAGAGTAGTTTAAATTCCAACTATATATATATGTGAAACTTGTAAGCTTTCCAATTTACATATGCTGCAAATTTAACAGTATTTCTCACTGCAAAAAAAAAAAAAAAAAAAAAAAACTCAAAACTTGAACAAATTCAAATGTAGATTTCAAATTTAAATTCTTTTACATTTTTAAAACATTTGAATGCTGCTATTACATTTTTCAATTCGCCTCTTTCTCCAAGAAGAAATTAAATTATTATTATTTTTTTTTTTTTTGAGATCAATTGTACAAATGTTTTCATAAATCAAAAGTTTTTTCTAATATTCTTTCTAGGCATTAAATATGCTTTTTTTTGACAGAAAAGAAGAAAATTTTTCACTGCGATTTTGTCTCACGTTCGAGATTAAAACAAGGGATATTAATTGCGTTCATTATCGGAAACTCGGTAGAAATTCGAGGAGAATTATTTATCAGTCTAAAAGTTCAATTGATCCGTATTTTCATATTCCTTTTACGATCTGGCAGTTTTTTTTTTGAAGGAGGATGATCCCCCTTCCATACCATTCTACTGTCATAAAAACTTAATCCTCTGAGATATTGATTATGTGCACTTTATTGTAAGGAAGCTCGAGTCTATTAGCTGTGAGCTTCAATTTGATTTCTTCAAGTTCATTGTTCCCTTTAATGTCTCGGTTTAATGATTCGGAAACAGAGTATCTGAATCAACAATATTCTCCGGTAATTTTCATATTTCACTCATCATTAAACATTAATATTCGGAATAATAAAAATTTTGACCCCCCCCCTCCCCTTATTTGAAGAAAAAGTTTATTAAAAAAATTTGTCAACAGATTTCTTTTTTTAAAGTATAAAAAATACATTAAGAGGATGATTAAAAAAAAAAAAAATACAAATTCAAAATAATTTTGAAAATTCTTTTTTGAAATATGTATTCTTTTCAAATATACATTATTTGATTTATGAGTTTAAAAAAACTTCAATCGCGGATCTGATTTCTTGTCCCTGTGTTATCTGATTCTATCAATCTCCGTGAATTCTGCGGTAGTCGACAAAATTGGAAACTCAATCCGATTAGTTTCATGGAGCAATTGGAAATTTTTTTTTTTTTTATGCGAGGCTTTTTATAACGATTCTCGATTAAAAATGTACGCACATTTTTTAAAAATAATAATAATAATTTCTCATAAGAGTTTTCTGTATTTTTTTTTTAATTTAATTTTTACAAAAAAAATTTTAATGGAAAATTATTAATTATTAAAAGGAGAAATTAAGGGAAAATAAATTTAAAATGAAAGAAATTAAAATTCGTGAGAATATATATATATATAAAGATTCACGAATTGAGATATATATATATATAAACCTTGGGCACTTTTCGAGTCGCGAAGCATAAAAATCGACTTGAATGGAGTCGTGGCAGGATCGTGAGAGTAATTACAAAGAGGGGACGTGAAAAATCGAGTTTTCCCGCCTTCAAGGTGAATAAAAACAGTCGACGCTAATGTCTTTTTAATGTCACTGAATCAACACGAGCGTAACGTGTGCACTATTTGTTTCAATTCCTATACCACTATATATATATATATATATATATATATATATATATATATATAATTCTCCCGGTTAAAGTCATATCGATGCTAAAAACTGGCTATCGCATTTCTCGCCAATTCAGCGAGTTACAAAGTTGACGTCACCAGGCCTCACATAATTCAATTCAATTCGCTTAATTTTGCGAAAATTGCCAATCTTCCCAGTAACGTCTTCGTCCGTTATCCCCTCCCCTTCATACTAGACCTACTTTTCAGTTCCACCTACTGTTCCTCCTATTTTCCCAGAATTGACGTAAATTAAAACTCTCCCCTTCGAGAACATTAAAAAAAAACTTCTTCATTTTTTTTTTTTTTTAAAAACTTCCGGTTATTAAAAAAAAATTTGTTGAAAAAAAAATTATTTCCAAAAAAAAAAAAAGAAGATATTGAAGAATTATAAAGAAGTTAAATTGTTAATTGAGGAGAAAAAAGGTGGAGGGAGGAACAATAACTATGAAGTTGATTTTATCTTTGTTAGAAAAACAAATAAGAAACGTGTTACTTAAAAAATAGAAAAAGAACAAGAAATATAATTGAAGGGGTAAATGAAAATGACATTTAATTAACTCGTGAGACACGAAAAATAATTTTCAAGTTGATGTAAGGCGTGGCATATACACTCAACCCATTATTACGTGAACCACGAACACTAATACGACTTCACTCGCATGTCATAATTTTCGGAGATGAAAGTGAATGGAGGTAATATGGGAGTATTAAGTTATTTTTCATTCGACGACCCTTTCATAAAATGTTTGTGTGGCTTAAAAATAGTTTTGAACATACAAAAATTAATCGCAGATATATCGTTTCCTCTCTTTAATGAGAAAATTTTGAAAATCAATTTTTTAAAAATCCCCCCCCCAAAAAAAAAAATGACTAAATTTACTGGTCAACAGAGAAAAAATTAAATAATAATTTTCAAAAAACTTACTTACTTTTTACTTACTTACTTACTTTTACATTTAAAATAATCGTTATTTCTTTTTTATTCAATTGAAATTTATTTCTACAGGTAAATAATAAACATTCAGTATTGAAAAAGATAGAGGGAGTTTCTGGAATAAATCTTTTGATAAAAAAAAAAAAAAAAAAAAAAAAAAAAGAAGTCTTCTGTACCCTCTAAGAGAGTTGAAGTAAAGGCAATTTCTTATTCAAGGGTTTCGCCCGATGGGTTTTCACACGCGAAATACTCGTTTCCAGAAAGCCATTCGCTGGTGCCCCGTTAACTTAGAATCACTAGTGACTTCCGAACACAATAAAATGTGAACTCGGAGGAAAAAAAAAATATATATATATATATATAAAAAGAATGAGAATAAGATTATTATTTCTGAAACAAAACCGAAGGTAAACAATGAAAAACTGAATGGCTTAGTTCCGAGAATGACGAGTTGTTCCTTTAGAAAATACTTTAAATTTAAGAAATTATTAACGGCTCGAAAAACTCATTTCTCATTCAATTGGATAGTGTTGAAGAAAAAAGATTTCTTTCTTTTTTTTTTTTTTTTTAGAAAATGTGGGTGAAAAAAGGAAATAATTTAAAAATTACGGTAAAATGTAATTGAAAAAAGACAAATTAAATAATATAAATACTATGTGAAATAAGAACTAGAAATTTTGACATTGTCCAAAAATGTTGACATATTTCTAAATAATATTTTTATTTTCGTTTGAGAACAATGACTTTCGAAACTTTCTAACATTGAATTACAATTGTCTATAAATACAAAATCCTTCTATTCGACATTTATTCTATCAAAGTTACAAAATCCTTTAGAATAATGAAACAGAAGAATAGTATCAAAATTTAAAATTCGAAACAAATTACATCTCTAATATTAAATAATTTTCATTTTGAAAAATATTCTATAGTTAGAAATTTTAGTTTAATTGAAATTTTATTGAAGATTTTAATTAATAGTTTTAGATTTTTCATTTAATATATATATATATATATATATATATAAGAAGAAATGAGTAAGGAGACGTGGAAAAATAAGTCAATAAAAAAGAAAGAAAGAAAAAGGTCATAAAAACAATGGAATGAACTATTTAAGATTTTGAGACCCCCTTCAAAAAGTCAATGACATTTAATTAGACTCTCGAGAACTTTTTCGCGAAGCACAGACATTTCTTTAACTTTTTTTTTTTCGACGTATAAATTAAAATCTCCAGATATCATTTGAAAAAGGTCGTATTTCAAAGGTAATTAAAACACTATCTCAGAATTGATAATCAACTCTACTTTCTTTATATATTTGAAATTTAGTTAAAATTTACTAATAAAATAATTAAAAGTAAATTTTAATAAATTACTTTAATATATTCAATTAAAAAATTTTCTCTAATTAATGTCAAAATTAGCACATCGTACTTTTTCATCACTTAATTAATTTCATTAATTAATACATCAATTTGATTTTGACTGGAATTATAATTGAGATTAATAATTTGAAATTATTATTATAATCAATGATTTATTAGAAAAATTATTATTATCAGTTATAACTAATTATTAAAAGCAAATATTGATAATATCAATGAAAATTAATAATATTAAAGTTAATAATATAAAAATCACTAAAGTTACAAAAAATAGTAAAAAATTACAATATAAAAATAATTTAAAAAAAAAAAAAAAACTTTAAAAATTTACTATTAAACATCAATAGAGTACTATAATAACTGAACAAAAAAAATTTCTTTGATTCAATTAAACGGTTTCTTGATATCTTGACTCAAATAATAAATAAATATTTATTTTATTTAATAAAACTAATCGATTTGAATCAAACAAATTTTTTCAGTATAGTAATAAGTACCAAACATGTAAGAAATGTGAAATGAAAAAAAAATTTCTAAACGTATTTTTCTTGTCTAATATATGTATGAATAGATAGGGATTTATTTACCGAAATTCGAAAACGAACGCATCAATTTGGTTCGTGTAGCGGAACCGCGGAATATTTAATGACTTTCGTAAATTGAGTCTCTCGTTCATTGCAGCCCGCGGTGTTGGGCTTTCAGGGGAAAAAGCTCGCCTGCGGCGAACCGTGAAGTACTCGAATTTCGAATCCTGTATATATACTAAAATACATATATACGTATATATATATATAGACATATACATATACCCATACATACATGTATCTCAAGATATATTAAAAATTTAATCTAAACATTAATGCCACTATCGTTATAGTTTTTTGGTCCATTACATGAATTACAATACACGGTATCGTTTTTCACAATCGCGACTCACCTGATGTCTAAGTATTTCTCCGGCAGCATCTTCCACAGAGACTCATCTGAAGCGACAGGTCTCCCACGCGGCAACCCGGATTGCACAACTTTCTCGTTCCTCTCTTTCTTCTTCGATCTTCATTGGCAAAAAAAAAAAAGAAAAGAAATTGACGCAAAATTTATTATTCACGAAAAAACACTTTTTCTTTTTTCGTTCTCTTTATCCAGAAGCGAGGAGGGGAGAACGAAAAAAAAACACCAATCCCGGAAGTAGGCTTTGTCCTTTTTCTATATGTAACACTTTTTTTTGCCTAGGATTACTCACTTGTAACATTTTTTTTTTCAATTCCTTTTTCTAAATTTAATGTTTTGGGAAAAATTTTTTTTTCTCTTAAAATTTTGAGTATGTTGAAAAAAAAATTTTTTTTTTTTTTTTTTTTGTTCCCTATCGTATTCGCGAGGAGCGCGAGAGCCATTCCAGGACTCGGAAGATCTCCTTAGGATGGCAGTTTAAATGCAACTATGCTTCTTTGGGTTTGGGTTGAGCGCGCAGAGCCCGAGTCGGGGGCGTTCGGTCCACTTCGTTTGTATTCGGATCTCGTCGATATGCCCATAGACACACTGTGTGTGTGTGTGTGTGTATGTTCATATATATATGTCTATGGATATGCCGTGCCATGCCTGTGCTATGCTATACTCTACCCGGCGACGACGACGACGACGATGATGCTAGAAAGGGAATTGGAGGGGGGAGGAGGTCGAAGAATCGTGGGTGGGGGGGTTACTGGTCGCGGTGGGTGAGGTGGCGGGGGTGGCATTAGGACACGGGATTCGAGAGGAGAAGGGCGCGTAGACGCGTGACAGAGACGGTCATATGGCGCCCAAGTCGGAATGGGGGATTCTCCTACGCGCTCACGTAACTGGTGTCTCATAAATACGCACATGCGCTTATATCACACACAACATTCCCAAGACCTATAATCACCACAGTGCAAAAAAGATCCTTTTTTTATTGGTGTGAAATTTCGGAATGTTAAACAGTATGTCTTAATTAAGACATCGACTTTAATTTTCAACCTTTTTACTCTCTTAGTAAAAATTTTAACTTACTGATTCACTTTTTGCTTTTTACTAAAAAGCAAAAAAAAAAAAAAAATTTTATTAAGAGAGGACATATTTTTTAAGTATTTAATTATTTTTTTTTATATATATGAAACAAGATCAAAATAACTTAAAATGGGGATGGAAAATTTTGAAAATTACTGTGTATTGCCTTGATGTGTTTTCATTATAGTTATGAACTGTGAGTATATAAAGCGAGGCGCTATGGTATGTAGAGTAGCGCTGCTCACATTTCACAAACCATGCAAAATGAAGTCAATGCCGGTCATAACTCTATATAGTACTTAAACGATTGTAACTCAGCTCTTTGCAAACGATAAAGCAGTTTAGTTAGAAGTTATCAAAAGCAATCAAATTAAAGACTATTGCGTGACGAACTATTTACCTTACATATATAAAGTTTGTCTATATATATATGTATATATTAAAAGCTCGTAAAAGGGACCTTGAAAAAAATTTTAGGTTATGTTTTGTGATAATGTTAATTTTTAATCAAAATAAGTTACTTTTCATCTAATTGAGATTTGAACAGTGATTTGTATTAGTTCTATTTTCATTTTTTTTTAAGAAACATAACCTAAAATTACGGTTCAAAATGAGTGACATACACTTTAAAATGATTAGCGTACGTTACTCATTTTGAGAAAGAAAAAACGAAAATACTGAATAAACTCTTTAAAATAAATGAAATTTCATTTTAAATAACGATATTTAATGTCATTTTAAATTAAATATATATATATATACCCATTGGGAAAAAAAGTGCGCGTCTCACAGCTTAAGATCATTAGCATTTTCGATCTGATTAACATCAGTATGCTAAGAATTCCAATACTACATCCTGAATAATGCCCGTAACTGTCAGTCATCTGATTAAGATTATGCTACACGCGCAACCAAGAGCGAACATCTTGTACTCTGTACACGAGTATAATAATCAATCGTGACAATAGAGTATCGCGAGTGGCACCGAATACAATAATATTCATCTCAGAGGGGATCAGCATTCGCTTTGTGAATTACAACATGTTTATTACCTCGCATAAGATAGAAATTCAATTTCATAAGCGTTTATCTAAAATAATAAATCCCATACACAAATGTTATATATTAATGCAAAATTTTTATATTTAATTTTACTTTTCTAATGCCAAATATAAATTGAGCAACTACTAATACAAAAACTAGTTAGTATTTTCAAATAATCTAGTTCTAATATATATCAATATAGTAGTTTCGACATGCTCTAATAAATTGTCATTAATTTTGTGATGAGAATATAATTTAGTACACGCGCGGATATATCCGGTAAATTCTCTCATTGATTGATTTATGTTCAATTTATTGATGTTGTTGACCAATTGTTATAGTTTAAAAATTTTATGTATAAAAAACAATTTCTATGTAAAAAATTTACTAATTTTAATTTTTAAATATTTTAAGAAAATTTATTATTTTAGTAATGGAAAATAAAGGGGAAAAAAAAAAATGAACATTAGTTTTGCTGCAAAACATGTCACGCATTTCCGAATGTCTTATATGTGCCTTGCGTGTCAACAAATCGTTTCCTGCTGGGACTCAAGCACCAAATTATGTTTGCAAATTCTGATGAAATGCGTATTATTCTTTGGCATAACATTTCGAACCATGAAATTGTTAAATTTCGTTTAATAGCGCATATCAGAAATTTCTTTATATTAAAAATTTTAACTCTTCTGTAATTTTTAATGAAAAATCGACCTTGATATGAAATTTTAATATCGATCAATATATTGTATATTTGAACTTGCAAAGTACGGTGTGGAATTTGAGGGCTTTGCATAGTAATCACATTGCTTCCCTGGTTCTATTAAATATTATCTAGAGACTTGTTTGAAGATCAAAATTCAGCAGCGTGGCCGCTTTTCATAAAAGAGAAGGAAAGGAGAGAGAGAGGGAGAGAGAGAAGGCAGAACAGCAATTTTGAGTTGTTTTACTGCAGTTTCGGTTTACGATATGGTGAACTGCGCGCAGACCAAGCAAACTCAACGTGGTCTCAACTCTTGATCAAACGCGGCTCTGCGGTTCCCTCTATAAACTAAAACCGTTTAGTCGAACCAACCAATATTCAGCTAAACATTTCCGATTCGATCGCATGAAATCTGATATGATTTTCACTAGAGACCAAGTGGAATCTGATTCCGCATATATGTCCTTTACAATCTGCGGACCTTTGGTCATTAGAATTTGATAGTGGTTTCCGATAAAATCAGACGTACAATTTGAATTAGAATATATATACACACAGTTTCATTTAAACTGCGCGTGAATTTTAATTAAACCTTTAGAATTAAAAAAAATTAAAAATAAATGCCTGAAAAAAAATTAATTTTTCTGTTTTGTATTATGTTTTTAGATTAAGAAAATTGTAGAATCAAAATCTTACATCTTTTTCAGAAAAATGATTTTGCAATTTTTTTTTTTTTTTGAGCAATGTTAACGTCGAGGATTAGCGGGACCGATTAGCACAGGAAGAGACGAGGGGAGATTAACTCGTAAGAGTAGGCAAAGCGAGCATATATAGAGGAGCATTTTCGGGGAAGTGAAACTGGGATTCCTGCGATGTTTCCTCTACTTCCTTCTGTAGAGATACTATATGCGGTAACAGGGCTGAGAAGAGGCGACGAAAGAGGAGAGATTATACGAGCTCACTCGTTCCAATTTAAACTATATCTTCACTTTATGGGTCACAAAGCTCCAACATAAACGCAAAATCGTGAGAGATATTTGATTATTGTCACTTCTTCAGATTCGATATTTTATTATTGAAAAATCTTTTTCTTTTAGACTTTAATTCTAGAAATCCGTTAACTATAATAACAATTTGATTCGATGACCTTTAGGTATATCTTTTGAAGAATAGGTTGTAAAATCAATTTTATGTCATTTTTGTGAAAGACTCCGCAAGAATCTAGTTTCATGAGGGATACTTTATGAAAATGGGATTATAAAATCCCACTGTCGATTATTTTATCTTTTTTAATTTTACATTTCTTGACTAAATTCCCCCCCCCCCCCAATAAATTAAACTTAATTTTTGATTAGTCTTTTTTAATTATAGTCTTAAAAATAATAGGTAAAAAGTTGACATAATCGGGACACAAGGGAATGGGAAATTTCTCGATATTGTTGCTTGAAGAAAGAAAACTCAAAAGGTAGATAAAACTGAGAAACCTTCAAGTTTTCATCATAAAGCTGAGAATTCTTAGGAGAGAGAGAGAGAGAGAGAGAGAAGCATTCAGTATTCAGCACCTTGCAACATGATAATAATCCAGATTCATCTGACGCGCAAGAAGGATTTGGTATGGGACGTAAACTAGGAGATTGCGACGGCACAAAACTCCTTTGCTGACAATGAAAGGAAACGAGTTATATTTCACAAGAAGTGGGACAAGGCAGATATCCTAGTCGAGACAGAAAGCCGTTACGCCTAAGAGAGCCGCTCGCGCTGTTATATATATATAAGCGACACGAGACATTGTGGCACGTGACCGTTACCGTCACGCGTTGCCCTCAACGAAACGCATATAAAAGGAAGCCAATCGATGATGATATCCAATCCCTCTTTCCAAAGCCTTAAAAGGGGAGGGTGAACATAAAGAATTTTATCGCACACCCACCAGTGCGCCATGATAAGACTCCCATCAATTGGCCTGGCCTCTTTTTCCGCACTCTTACTGTATTACCAACCTTGCAGAGATAAGCAAGGATCGGGCCAATGGATAAACGGATGACCCACAGAAAACACTCAACACTTTTTACGATGTCCCTTTCTTCTTTATTCAATTACTTAGACCTTCTGATAAAAATTTATTCTCCCCTAATGAAAACTTTTGATCTCAGTTATATAAAAAAAAAAAAAAAAACAATATAATTTTTTCAAAAATTACAAAAAAAAGTTTCGAATTGAGCAACGAAAAAAAACCTTCACTTTTGAATCTGAGTATATAACATTGTTTCCGTTTTTCAGACCTAGCAGACCGAGAGTGCCTTTGTCTCTTCTTATCCGGAAGGCAGACAACGAATCGGTCGATAAAGTAGAACTGAAGAAATGCGAGAAAGATGCTTTTTTCTCCTAAAGTCTGAACGACACAAGGCCACTGACAGATCTCGCATTTCCACGAATTCAGCCTTTTGGCTTTTTGGACTTCGCAAGCTGTCTTGTGTGCGGTTTAAGGACAGCGCAGAGTCAAGAACCTCTCTTCACGTGCCTCTCAAATCCCTTCACAAAGAATTCTCTCTCTCTCTTTCTCTCTCTCTCTTTCTTTACCTACCCCTTTCTTTTTTTTCTTTCTATCATCTTTTTTCTCTCCTTGTTTCTTTACTTCTCTCTTTATTCTT